CTTTTCCTTGTTCCTGTATTCGAGCACGTGAATCCGTTCTTCAATCTTTCTTCTGTCTTCTTTTTGTTTCTGTATATTAGCTCAGTATTTATAGGGTTAGGATTTGGAACTTGCGAATTGTCGTTACAATTGCTTATATTTACAATTTAGAACAATTAAGGATTTATTGTAATCTCTGTAATTGATATTGTAATTTGATTTGTAGAGATTTGATTTAGTATTCTTACTGTAATTTTTATGATTTTGTTTTTTTGGTTTTAGATGCAGATTTGATTTTGTAATTTGAGATTTATACTGATAAGCATTTGATTTGATGTATCTGATAATATTTTCGTCTTCAGGAATTTTGGGTTTTGACTATAAAAATAAAGATTTAATTTGTTTAATTTTGTTGTAAAGAAAGATATAAATTTTATAAAATCTAAACAGTACATGTTAACTGATAAAACGTGCGCAATCTTTGGTCAATTGGTACCGTAACTGTTAACTGCATTTTGGGCATGCGCTTGTTACTGAATTGGTCCTTGTACTTCTTTATTTGAATTGGGCCTCGTACTTCTTTTAGGTCCAACAACATATTTATTATTTCACCACAAATAATTTCCGGACCGGGCCTAATTGGCCCTTGCATATCAAACCAACAGACTTTATTCCAAAGCAAAACACTTCATTAAATCTACTACCAGTTTGTAAAATAAATTAATTAATAAATAGGAAACATGATAGCAATAAGAAACAGATAAAAATTGGTTCACAAATGCCAAATGGGCCAGTTTGGAAGCTGCCTAATGGGCCTACTATCTCCAATCTTTGCTTATTAAAAATGAAATGAGCCTTATGAATTTCAATGGGCTTGTAATTTATACTCATACCCCACCCTTTTCTATTTGGATAACGAAAATGGAAATAGGCCAACTAAAATATACTAGTATATTGCAATCTCACCTCTCTTTTATCGTCCCTACCAACAACCATATTATCCAATTTTTTCAGTTTTAAAATGCTACTTTCATGTCACGATATCTCATTCATCTCTTGATGAAAATCAAAAATTCCAACACCAAAATTCAAGAGGGAAATTAGTAGTACATGCTAGGACCAAAAACATCATGAAATGATGCCTTGATGATTGAGAAAAATGTGCGCGAACATGAATACATGAACACAGTTTTAAGTTGCACATTTCATCAAACAGATTTGTGATTTTATTTTCTCCCTCAATTCTCCACCAAATAACACGATCCAAAAATGAAAATTGATCATAAAAATGAAAGGATTATGAATATATTATTGATTTGTTCAAAAGGTTCATGGATCTAAACAACACGCAAGTTACAGCAAGAGGGAGAAAATGGATAATTATCTTGAAATGAACTTGGTGAAGCTTGAGCTCAAATAAAGAGTAACTCACTTGAGAGAAGCTTGAATGTTCAAGATGATGAGTAGAGAGAGATGCAAAGAAAGCTTGGAGAAAAGAGAAAGATGGAGGATGTTTACTTGACAATGGAGGAGATAAAGAGAGAAGAAGAAATTATGCTTGCATTGAAGAGAGAGATACGTGAGGAAGAGAGAGATGTGCTTGTTTGCTTCTGATTTGCAATCTTCCAACCCTTTGCTTTTTGAAGGCATATACTTTATATAGAGTGAGGAGAATAAAGAAAGTGAGAGAAAATGAGAAAATGAAGGCTGTGTGTTTTATGTTGATTGAGAGTGAAAAAAATGTGCGTTTTGGAGTAAGTGAGAAGTGGCTGGGGCATGAGCTGGCAGCTGGGGCTTTGTTGACACAAGATTTCCATGCATGTCCATGTAAGTATCATCATTCCATGAACACCTCTTTACATCCTTATATCTTCCTCTATGATGCATGAAACATGACAAGGTTTGAATAAAAAATGGAGAGGAGATTTCATACTCCAACTTTAATGTTCAAAATTTTTCAAAATGAAGCTTGAATCAATGAGATATTTGGCCATGAATGTATGCTTACAAACTGTTTGATAAAATGACAAGTCTGAATGGGCTTGCTGCGTGCGCGTGAGACCTTTCTGGGCAAAAATTTCAGTTTGCATGGTGCCTTTTTCTCACAATTATATCTCAAGATGTAGGAAGAATTTGGAGAAACTTCCTGAAGCAAAGTTGTTCCTTGCATTTAGGGCTTGATCTTTGATGTTGGATATTTTCCAAAATAATGAATATTTCATATAAAAAGTGATGATGAATGCGTGCCCATAACATATTTGATGAAATTCCTGCCTAGCGCGCGTGACTTGCCTTGTGCTGGGCAAAATGACAGTTTTCAGCTCAAAATCCTAATCACCATATCTTTCTCTACACTTAACCATTTAAGATGATTTTTGAATGAAAAATGAAGAGAAAACTTCAATATTCAACTTTCATGTTACTAACTTTTTGATTTGAGTCCAAATGGTCATTCAAAAATGTACATGAAGAAGTCAGATTTTGGCATTTTTATCCAAAATTTCACCAAGTGTCAAAACCTTTCAAGCTTCATAACTTTTTTTCCTTTCATTTTTTGGACTTGTGGTCTCTCCTACAACATTGGAGAATTTTTCACCCTCTTTCTAGGCATATAAAGTTTGTATATTTTCAATAAAAATTGAGAAAGTTATAGCCAATCAAAATTCATCCCCATGGATACTTAGAAAAATTCCAAAACTTCAAATAACTTTCTTGACAAGTTAACTCCAATTCACACTTCCTCTTGATATTTTTGCCACTATTGACCATGAAATGTGAGAATAAGGATACTGAATTGATAGTTGACCAAAATTTCACTTGGTCAACAGTTGATTTCAACTATCTCCTGACAAAATGACCATTTTACCCCCTTTTCCCAATTAAACCCTTTCCAGCCAAAATTGATGATCAAACTTCCAATAACAGATGCTCATGACTATGTATAGAAGTATGGGATCAAGAATTGCCCAAAAATCCAAATATCTCCTGATTAAAATCCAAACCCTAGTTTTGATTCTCTGTGCTAGGAGATGGTGAGATGAAGGCAATTGTGCCATGACCTACAAGATGTTATTTCAAGAGACAAAATATACATATTTTGAGGTTAGTTAAAAGCATACAAATACAAAGATACACAATTCAAGGTGCTTCAAGATGCTTGGTGATTCCCATAGGCAAACCTAAAGACAGGATGCAGTAGGAGAAAAACCTCAAATCCTAGCTTGTGATCTGGTTGCATTGTGATGGTATGAGATGATAGAGGAATCTTAGGGGCAAAAATTGTGGTACAACAGTATATCTTACTTTGGATTTAAAATTGGCCTCCAGAAATCCCTAAATCGTCTTCCTAGTTGTGTCGGCCTTCTCAAGATATTATCATTTTCTTCGTTATACCACATAACATATAAATATTCAATCAATGGAAATCCATGCTAGGATCTATAATGGGTATCTCATCAGGGCAAATTTTGAAAGAGGTCAGCATCAGCTTTAAGGAATTTGATGAGCCCTTTATTTACCAAGATTTATAGATAAGTTCTTATGCAGAAAGACAATACTGAATTATCGTCAAGCTTGATAATTTTGAAGTTATCATGTGGTACTAACCTTAAGGTTCTCCCCCTGACTTCTGTCATTTAGTCGAGTTCTTTTCCTCACTGTGTTTCTTCTTCTAGAACATAAAGCTCAACTATATTAATGGACTTAACATGCATTATTTTTCCGTCTTTTGATGGTGATGGCTTCCGCGAGGGGTTTTTCAATACGGTCTTGTGCATGAGGTGGGTCCTATGCGAATCTTCTGAGACAATGACCAACTTGCCTGCATTATTATGGTGTTTCATCTTCAAATGGGGCTAGAAGTCCATTGCACCCAACATTGCAAGGAATGACCTCCCAAGGACGCAGTTGTAGATGATTTCATAGGGGATCATGACGAAATGTACATTCACGATCTTATTGTTCTTCCGTTCTCCGAAAGAGACTAACCGTTTGATTGTTCAATAGGACTCATTGAGCGCAAACTGACTCTCACCTATATATGCATGACTTCATATCTCGATCACAAAGTCTTAATCTTCTGATGATTCCAATGTACAGAAGATCGCATGAGTTCCCGTCTTGGATGAGGATTCATGATACTAAATGATTTTCTATGATGGCGGTAATTACTAGTGGAAGTGTTACATTATGAGTTATATATACTTTCTCTCTATCTTAAAACCCAAAATATGTCTGTCACCTTTCTTCTTTTTCTTTTCCGATGGCGAGGTTCGATATTGAGATTCTTTTTTGAAGGATGAACCATCATTTATTGAATCAACATAGAAGAAATGGAAAGATAATGATGCTAGGAAATCAGCTGAATTTTCAACAATTGGATTGACCGCCATCTTCTTTTTCGAGCAAGCTCATTAAGGTAGTTTGTGATTTTTAAATCAGATATATGATCATGGATTTCATAGGAATCAAAAGTTGTTTTTCATAGACAGTTCAATTGTTCTATGATAGTGTAATGATGTTTTAACGTAATGGAGTAAGGTTGTGGCACCACTGAGACGGGGTCGACCAATAAAGTTAACACTCCTACGTCCATATCAGTTCTTAAGTGGAGAGTAATGTGGAGTAAATTATGGTTAGAAAATACCTAAAATCTGGAGTGTGATCCCTTATGTATCGGTGCATTGTTAGAAATCTCTTTTCTTTCTAGAGTGGTATGTGGAGAACTGTTGGATGAAATTCAACTGTAGAGGATGATCTGTGGTGTGGATCAAATATAGACCCGGAGGCCACAGGTTCACTATTCATAAGTCTTTTTATTATTGGGTCTTTCTCTAGTCTAGAACATGTTTTATTTAATCTATGATAGTGTATTCAAACTATGATAGAGTATTCAAACTAAGATAAAGTATTCGTTAAATTGTGTTTATTTTAAATCAGTTTAATAATATGTTGAAATATGAGGAAATATGTTGCAATATGAGTTATAGAAAGTGTGTTTAAACATTATTTATATAAATAAGTTATGTTTTGTTTTGTAACAATGGAACATCATTGCACAGGCTCTCCATGTTTTCCATCCCTCTCTCAACTTTCTCTTCCGAAGCTTTCCCCCATTGCACAACATAAAATCCCATCACTATTATAATCGCACCAATCAAACTGCAAAAAGACACTTGCTAAATGTATTTCCAATGTTAAGTAAAAAAATTCTATTTGATTGGATTGTTTTGAACATTTACCTTCCAAGGTAAAAGTCATCTCCAAGAAAAATAAAACCCAATAAAACGGTGAAGATGATTCCTATTGGTTTGAACATAGCACAAAAGAGAGGACCAGCTCTTTGTACACACCATATTTGTAGGCAGTACCGAATTCCTATTGCACATATTGCCTGTTTAATTAATCTTAATTAATAAACAATAAACCATTAATCTTGTGTTTAAAGACGATAATGAATGAGATTACCTGGTAAAAAATGACAATCAACCCCATATCAAGATTTAGTTCCCATGCACTAGGATCTCTAACCACAATTAAAGCATATACTCCAGATTGAATTGTTATGAAAAGTACTTGAAAGAAGACTATCACTATTAGAGCAGGGTATTTCTTTGTTAATGAAACCTAAAACAAACAACAAGAAAAGGAATAGCCATTTTACTTTTTTAAAACCATATTACTCAAAAGAGAGATGTAAAATGTTAAGTGTGGGACATAATTATCATAACCTGATATATGTACCATATGGATGAAGCTAAAGAATCTCCAGCACTTAACAACCCTCCCAAAATCCAGTTCAAATTTGGTGAAAAGCGAAGTGTGTTGTAAGAACTTGATGAATGTATCTTGAAGATTGGTGGACCCTTGTACCATATCACAACAAATGCTCCGGTCATTGATACTATAGTTCCTATCACTTTAGCTTGGCTGCTATAATGTCTCCAATTTATTTTTTCCATCCTAAACCGTTAAATTGAGAAGATATTGGTAATTGAGATACTGCAATTAAAAAAATTGGAATAATATATAACTAGATAAAATATCATATTGAGACCTTTGATGGCATTTATTTAAGGAAAATGATATGTTTACACTGCTTTTAACATATACACCATATTAGTATATACAAAATATACTAGTTTCAGTTTTTTATTAATTTACTTTACTTTGATTCCCATGCAACCAACAATTTGCTTTGGTGTGGATACGGTGTATGAAAAATGCAGTGTAAGAATAACACAACTCTTTGTAAATAGCCCACATACAAGCCAACCCTAGTTATATTTTTTAATATAAATTATATGAAAGCTTAATATCAATAAGATAAGTGATTAATAGATACCTAAACTCTTTTCACTCGATCGAAAATCAAACGCGTATGAATCTAGTTGAGTATGAGTCTAGTGATTCTTTTTAAATCTATCTTGTCTATTATGGTCATCATGAATTTAGATTTAATCAAAGTGCATTTCAAGTTGATAGATCCACTAACTAAAGAGGGTAAAAATTGCAAAACCACGATATTGTTAGTTGAACTATTACGAAAGACACCTATAATCACAGTTATAAAAAATCTATAATCACAGTTTGAAAACCGTTTTTAGGTAGGATGAGGTTGTATGTGGGCTATTTACAACCACAGTCTATTAGTCGTAGAAATAAATTAGAAATCGCACTACATATAATCATAATTGTTTTAAACAACCGTGGTTAAAGGTCACTCAATATTTTTCATTTTTCCCACATGTTTTAGCTGACTATATTGATAACTTACATCATAATATATAATAACAAGAACAATAACAAGAACAACAACAACAACAAGAATAACAACTACAACAACAACAAAAACAACACCGACAACAACAACGATAACAACAACAACAACGATAACAACAAGAACAACAACAAGAACAACAACAACGATAACAACAAGAACAACAACAAGAACAACAACAACCAGATAAACCAATAAAATCGTTAAACAAGAATATTTTAACTAACACAACAACAACTAACATGGCTAAGTTGGAGAAAAGATGATGGGGTTCTGAAACATGTTAGTGGAAGAAATTTTTATTAGTTTTGTTTATGGAAGAAATGGTGTTTTCAAGTTTGGTTTAGTGGAGGAATAATGTTTCGTAAATCGAAGAAGTTTGGAGGCAGAAGATGAAGTTTGTCTAAGTAATTCTAGGGAAAAAGTGAATGAACTAAGAGCCTTATATATTTTTAATAAAAAAAGACAAGAAGACGCCACTTTTCACTACTGTTTGAATTCTAACTATGGTTAAAAGTGACACCTTTTTACTTTTCACCAAAGTTGTTATTAAGGACCGTAATGACAAATATTTTAATAAAATAAAAAATGCAGGGGCCTAACACTACTAAAAATTCAGTAAATAGAAGAGGTTAATTTGAGAGTGGTTTTAAAAACCCCTACAAATAAACAATCTAAAAACACTCTTACTCTATTTGTAGGAGTTTTTAAAAAACCCACAAAATAATTTATCAAAATAGAAAAAGTTTCAGTTTATAATAGTTTAAATTTTTTCCGTTTTTGTCTAAACTTATATATACATGTGTGATAAAATAGAAAAAGAAACAAAAAAATAAAGAAAAATAGAGTAAAATAGTGGAGTGAGTCATTGGGATTGGGGATTGAATGAAGCTCACAATGTTATCTCTCGTGCCACTCTTGATGATATTTGATGGCGATCTCTCTATTGTCGATCTCACTCGACGATCTTGGACGCGGACCTCTCTCAGTCTCATCTTCCTCCTTGTTCTCTTCACTTTTTTCATCAGTTTAATTCGTTTCTCTCTTTCGGTAATCACTTGTACCTATCTCTTGCCTCCCTTGTTTGTTCTCTAGTTATGATTCATATCTTCTATTATATTGTTTTCTGTAATAGAATAACAGTGAAATCACTTCATAATTTGTCAATTAGAATTGTTGGATATTTCTAGGGTTTCAAATTTTTAGGGTTTTAGTGTTTTGTTCAAATTTGAGTTATGTTATCTATAATAGAATAATAGTGAAATCACTTCAAAATTGTATCGCATCTCCATCAATCGGACGTGAATAACACTTTCCTTCATGCAGATCTTCAAGAGCATGTTTATATGACAGTTCCCGAAGGAGTGCATGGGTCAAAACCCAATCAGGTATGCAAGTTGTTGAAGAGCTTGTATGGTCTCAAACAAGCAATACACAAATGGTATGAAAAATTGACTTACTTGTTGCTTAAGGAAGGCTATACTCAATCCACTTCTAACTATTTCCTTTTTACCTTGCACAAAAACAACTCTTTCACTGCTCTTTTAGTATATGTAGATAACGTGATTCTTGCAGGAGATTCTCTAAATGAATTTGAGATAATCAAAATCATCCTCGATGATGCCTTCAAAATAAAAGATTTTGGCCAGTTGAAGTACTTTCTTGGATTAGAAGTAGCCCATTCCAAGGCTGGAATCACAATTTCTCAAAGGAATTATTGTCTTGATCTTCTTAAAGATTCTGGTTTGCTTGGCTCTAAACCAGCTTCCACTCCTCTTGACACCTCCATCAAGTTGCACAATGATGGGTCAACACCCCTAGAAGATGTATCTTCATACAGAAGATTAGTTGGCAAGCTTCTTTAATTAAACACAACAAAACGAGATATTACCTTTGCTTCCCAACAGTTAAGTCAGTTTACGCATTCACCTATTGTAACTCATTACAAAGCAACATGCATAATGGTTAGGTATCTCAAGTAAAACCCTGGTCGCAGTATTTCCTTTGATAGAACCTCTGACTTGCAACATCTAAGCTACTCTGATGCACACTGGGCAGGTTGTTCGGACACATGACACTCCATCTCTGGCCATTTTTTCTTTTTGGGCAAATCTATGATATCTTGGCGCGCGAAGAAGCAACCCACTGTGTCAAAGTCCTCGTCTGAGGCAGAATATCGTGCATTATCATCCGTTGCGTGTGAAGTACAGTGGTTGTTATACTTATTTAAGGACTTAAATGTGTCGTGCGCCAAGATTCTCGATATGTATTGTGATAATCAAAGCGCAATTCACATAGCGTTAAACCCTATTTTTCATGAGATAATGAAACATTTGGACATAGATTGCCATCTAGTGAGTGAGAAAGTGCAGCAGGAAATATCAAATTGCTTCCTATTCTATCCTCTGAACAAATTGTAGATTTTCTTACTAAGGCCTTGCCCCTACCTAAGTTCCATTATTTCATCTCCAAACTTAACATGATAAACATTTATCATGTTGTAGTTTGAAGAAGGCTATCAAAAGTTAATACCATTAGATGAATCGAGTGGCTCGGGATTGGTGCACATTAGTGGCTCTTAGCATTCATTGTTATCTTTATCTACAAATCACATGAGATTCTACCCACTCACACATTACTCGTGCTTCTATTTTCTCTTCTTTTTTTTTAGCTCTCATAAAAATAGTTTGTTACGATAGCAAGGATTGTAAGTATGATTATGATGCTATATATAGAAGCATTTGTACCCTCTTATCATTATCAATGAATGGAGAATATAATTTAGATTCCTTTTGATATTCAGTTACTCAATATTTGACATCAAATAAATAAGGGAGTCACCCAAAAAGACACCAAAAACAGTCAAAAAATGTTGGATTTCACAACATGAATGGATTGCACAACATGAAGCCTAGTGTTAATAACTAAAGAGCTTGGAGGATGCAAGAAAAAAAATCCTTAGAAACGATATTTTTTTATTTGTAGTAAAACCTAAGTAACAGTTTGCATATGAGTGTTAGTTTGGGAAGACATGTATTGGCTCAGTTTATGCACAAAGAAGCTAAGGTCAGGCCTTGTGGTAGTGAGGTTAAAAAGTCTACTAATCAAATGACGATATATTGCAGGTCAATTATGTTGTAATAAGATCTTTGACTAAATTTAAATATTTTGACCGTTGGTTTTATTGGCTTGGTAGAAATGAGGATCATGTTACTAAGTAATTCCAAACATATTTGTGTTGTCTATATTCAACATTGTTTGTGGAAAGTTCTTGGTCATCATTACATGAATCCACGTTGTATGAAGATGAATGTTTTCCTTTGAACTTGAAGCCAATAGAAAATTCATGATTGAAGTAGCAAGATTAAATGTTGTGGACACCTTTACCATAAAATGAGAAAATCTTATTGTTAGAAAAACTCATGCCAGAAGAAGAAAATCAACCTTAGATCAACCTAGGAGTAGGAAACCTATATTTTCTAGAAGGACACCTTTACCACAAAATGAGAAGATCTTATTGTTAGAAAAATCTTCATGCCTTTGCTTGGATTTTCCTAGATTGTTCCTATAATTTTAATTAATAAAGAGAGCCTTGGATGAGTTAGGAGCCTCGGATGAGTTAGGGTTTACAGAGCCTTGAAACTGATGAAGATACTGTTGCAACGTCATAAGTTGGAAAAGGTAATGGATGTATGGGTCCTCTCACTTATAAAGTAATCAACCTTCACTTTTTCAGCAAAGTGAGACTTAAAACTCACACTTCTTTCTCAACACAAATCACACTTGTTTCTCAATAACCTCTCTCTCAAGTGTGAGTCCATCCATTATGATATTATACAAGGAGTCAATTTCTTACTCGATCTAGACTCTGATATTATTGTTGGAACATCATGAGGGGAAAATATTCACATTGGGTCAAACACACACCTAAAGGTCAAAGACTGACCCAAACAATTGAGAGAGACACCACATATTCACCCAAAACCTTAAGGTAATAGGTGTATGAGTCATCTCACTTATAAAGTGTTCAACCTTCATTTTTTCAAACAATGAGGGACTTAAAACTCACACTTCTTTCTCAATACAACTCACACGTGTTTCTCAACAGAGACCTTAAGAACTTCAGATAATGGTTTCAATGTCGGAATTTAGATACTAATCGTGTTGAAGGTGTCATTCAAACCTTTCAAAAAGAAAATTAAAAATGGTGTATCTTACAGTTCCTGGAGTTTGATATGACTTCCACAAGTACATGTTGGTAGAGACCGAAAGAGTTTCATGTCTTCTAATAAAGTTTTTAGCTCATTGATGTAAATACTAACATATTTCTTACCTTGTTTCATTGAATAGATTTATTAAAAAATGGCGTATAAGAGGAAAGGATTCCCTTTCGAGAAACAATTATGCAATTCAATCCAAAGTGTTACATCATTATCAACATATATGGTGCTTTGAGAAATTTCAAGAGATAGTCAATGACGGTTCATGAGAAAATGATGTTGTTGCATTGCTTGGAAATATCGAACATATGGAAACATTTTCAGGCACAAGGTGATGATTTTCCATTGTTAAACTTCAATTTGCTTTTGCATAAGAGGACTCATTTTATCGTGAGACTCAGAGAATCATAATTGTTCTTATTTGGGAGGGGAGATAATAATCACTCTACGATTCTCCAAAAACAAATGTTGTAGAGGCTTTCTAGATCGAATGTTAGAAATCCAACTTTATTTTAGTTATATCAATTGAATAATGCGAGTATATATACAAGTCATTTTGGATCCTCTCCATCTTTTTTCTCTCCATCCCTCTCTTTCTTCTCTATTTGTCTCTTAATCTCTCTCTCTCTCTCTCTCTCTCTCTCTCTCTCTCTCTCTCTCTCTCTCTCTCTCTCTCTTCATTATAAAATTATTTTTATCTAAGAGAGAGTGAGATTAAGAGAGAGATAGAAAAGAAGAAGAGGGATGGAGAGAAAAAGAGACGAAGAGGATCCAAGTCCACATACAAATAATTAACATATATAATTAAACAACAAATTAACTGACTCATCCATAATAATAGAACTAACTAACAACACATACACATGATTAAATAAATAACAAATAACTCTAATTATTTTACAATAATTAAAACTTAATTTGATCATTGTTGAATGAAAGATGACTAAATATATTTGTAAGAAATAAAAAATAAAATGACGAAACTAATTTTTATTATTTTAAAAATCAATATTTGACTATTTTATTTTAAAATACAATATTAAAATATATTATTAAATACTAAAATTACTAAAAGTAGTTGGAGACAATCAATCACCAGAGCTCTATGACCAACTACATTGTCCATCTGTCATAGTGAGATCTAAAGCATACCTTCTACCACCACTATTAGTAAATTAATTAAACTATAATAAAATAGTTCAATAATTATATTATTTAAAAAATAATATACTTATTTTTAATTTTAATGAAAAACTATTTTAATTAAGAGTGGGTGAACTTATTCTATTGTTTTCATTTAAAGTTGATAAAATATTCAGAACCTGAAAATGAGAGCAAGTAGGAAGGTGAAAGCTGGAATGAGGTTAAGCATTGCTGATGCAAGAGTTGGTGAACTAAGTTCTATGCCTCTATAAGTCATTATTTGTGCTGAAGTTCTGCACATTTAAATAACTCAATTTAAGAAGAAATATCCATGTTAATGAATTTAATATTAGAAAAGCATTTGAACAATTAAAAACTTCATCCCTACAGTTAGAGTGGACCAGAATAATTTGTATCTTTATTTTCTCTGTCTGTGTGTGTCAAGATACTTAGGTAAAATCATCAACACTTATGACAAAACCAAAAGTAGATTGAGACAACTTGAATGAAATATGACATGTATGGTACCAATTAAATGAACTCATCATATTTTTCTTTGAATTCAATATTTATAATTATCTGTCTAATAAGTCCACGAAACCTTTAATACTTTTGAGTGGTGTAGGAATTGACAAGCAATATAATATTTTTCAACAAAAAAAAAAAGAAAAATAGAGTAAAACACCTAATATTTTGTCTCTCATCTTTACTATAATATTTTTTAAATATATTAAATAATCAATATATTTAAACTAAATATAAATTAGATATAATGTTTATGTAATAAGTCTATTCTTTATACTAAGAAATGCAGTGAATAAAAATTAATAGCAAATAAACAGAAACAATAAATTAACAAAATTAAAATTGAAATACTAACCCTAGGAGAGCAAGAAAAAAGAAGCTGCAAAGTAAAGAGAAGGTGAGAGGAGGACACTGTGACCTGCATATGAATAAAGGAAAGAAAAAAAGAAACAAGAAAATCAAACTTTACCTTCCATATTACAGTGCCCAGAGATTTAAGAAGAGTAAAGAGAAATTGAAAAAAATAAAAAAAGAAGGAACCTGTTGTTAAAGAAAGCCAAGGGAAGAAGCAAGATGGTCGAAAGTGCCATGGAATAAACAACCATTACATATTTGTTAATTCCATCTTTTGTTGCAAATTTAATTACCACGAAACTTCCACTTTGTGCTAAAACAGCTGTAATCATTCCCATAAATGATGGAAATTTGTTTGTTGCACTCAAGTTTAGCCATTGTAGCATCTCTCTGTTTTTTTCTCTCTCTATATCTCTAGGCTTATGTATTCTTACATTTCTTACTTGAGTTCCTTTTCTTTATATACTTGACCCTTCTTTAGATTGGACCATTTTATTTTTAAAAGTTCAATATTAAATTTCGTAAGTAATAATAAATTGATTAAAAATTTATTTATAAAATATTACTTAACTATTAATTACTTTAAGTTAAAAAATATCTTTAAATCAATTATACTTAAATAAAAAAAAGTTAGATTTGTTGAAACTGTAATTCTTTATGTCGAAGCAGGTTGTTGCTCGACACAAGGTGTGTTGAAGTAGGTTGTTGGTCGACAGAAGGTGTGTCGAAATTAGTCTATATCGCAGTGTGTCAAGTTGTGTTAGCCGTCAAAGTATTGAAGCAGATTGTTTCCCACAGTATTTTGATTTAAGTATAAAATATATATTTTGAACTTTTATAGTTTTGGGTTTTTTGGCTTAGGGAAAAAACAAGTTCATTGTAAATAGAGGGAGTAACCTCTATTTTTGTAACCAACTCATAACAACTTGTATTCACATAATTTTGCAGTTGCAAAGTGAATAAAATTTTTACACGGTTTGTGGACAGAGAGTTACTCTACAGAAACTCTAATCTCTTTTCTTCTTTAATTTTTTTCCGTTGTCATTGTGTGGTGATAACAATCTTGTTCATTAAGATTGATAGAAATTCTCCATAAGATTTGGTGGATTTTCAACATCTGATATCAGGAGCTCCGGTTGAGCAATCAAGGGAAGAAGAAGAAAATCACAATGGCGATGAATTATGTGAATGGGAATTTTTCAGCAAACATTCAAATTCTGAAAGGTGATAATTATGTGAATTGGTGCAAACAAATGAAGGTTATATTTTGTTATCAAGGTCTTTGGGATCTTATAAAAGATGAGTTAGAACTGCTTAATGAAGATCCTTCAATTGAACACAAAGAATTGGAGAAGAAGAATTATAAAGTTCTCTTTATAATTCACCAATGTGCTAGTCCAGAAAATTTTGAAAAGGTTAGTGATGTTGAATCGGCAAAAGAAGTCTGGGAGATTCTTGAGAAATCTTTTAGAGGTGTAGAAAACGTGAAAGAGGTGACATTACAAACTCACATAAGAACGTATGAATTGCTTCAGATAGAAGATAGTGAGAGCATATATGATTTCTTCACTAGGATTTCAAAACTAGTAAATCAAATCAATGCTTGTGGTGAGACGTTAACAACAAGAGCAGTTATTTCAAAGATATTGAGATCTTTGGCTCCGAAGTTCGACCATTTAGTAGTTTCCATAGAAGAGTCGAAGAACATGTTAACTTTGTCAAAGGAAGAGCTTCAAGTGACACTTGAATATCATGAATAAAGAATGAATAAAAGAGTTGCAGGCAAGTCGAAGACTGATGTGGCTCTGCAGGCTCAATCGGCAAGAGATAAGAAAGGTAAAGGAAAGTGGTTCTACAATAAAGGTAAAGGTGGCTACAACAATTCGACTGGTAGAGGAAACCAACAAGAAGGAATTGTGTCGAATTAAAGAAGACTCCCATACCAAGGAAACCAAAGAGGTGGTGCTGGAGGTAGAGAAAGAGATGATGGTCAAAAACCTGACAGGAGTCACATTCAGTGTTACAATTGTCATAAGTATGGTCACTATTCTAGTGATTGTCCAGAAAAGCGAAAGAATCAAGAAAGTGATGTAAAGTTCGTAAAGTATGAAGAAGAGATGATGTTGATGGTCACAACAAGAGATGAAGAGAAATTCAATAACCAATAGAAGTTAGACTTAGGATGCTCATCACACATGTATAGAAGGAAAGATTGGTTTGTCAACATAAAGTCCTCGATGAAAAACATGGTAAAATTTTCAAATGATAATACTCTAGTAGTTGAAGGTATTGGTGATGTTCTGATTATGAGGAAAGATGACAAGAGGTCGGTAATTTCCAATGTATTGTACATACCAGGCATGAAGAGCAACTTGCTCAGCATAGGGCAGTTGGTCAAAAAAATTTAAAAAGTGTCGATCTAAGACAAGATGATGAGAGTCGTCGACGCAAGATGAAGGTTAATATTGAAGGCTCCTAAGTCTCAGAATAGGACCTTAAAGATCTAACTAAATATGATGGAGCACAAGTTATTTTCGACTGCAGCTAGTAAGGAGGAATGGATATGACCCTATCAACTTGGCCATCTCAACTTCAAAGACTAGAGACTTGAAAAGAAGAAATATGGTTTCAGGATTGCCTTAAATTGACATTCGAAACGAGGTATGTGAGGAATGTGTGCAGGAAAAGCAACATAAGAATAGATTCAGCAAGGATGTTGGAAGCAAGTCGAAGGCTATTCTCGAAGTCATATACTCTGATGTATGTGAACTAAACCAAGTGGATTCAAATGGAGGTAACAAATACTTTGTCACACTCATAGATGAATTCAGTCGAAAACTGTGGACTTACCTGATTAAGAAGAAAAGTCAAGTGATCAAGGTATTTTCCAAGTTTAAGTCTATGGTCGAAAGACAAAGTGGTTGAAAGCTCAAGATTTTGAGAACTAATGGTGGTAGAGAATATGTGTCAAAATACTTTGATACATTATGTGTGGAAGAAGGTATTATACATGAGGTGATACCACCCTACAATACACAAAAAATGGAAATGCAGAAAGGAAGAACAAAACCATCATGAATATGGTGAGAAGTGTGTTGAAAGGCAAGCATTTACCTAAAGAGTTTTAGGGTGAAGCTGTGTCGACTTCAACATATATTTTGAATAGATGTCCAACGAAAAAGCTAGAAGGAATTACTCCAGAAGAATGATGATCTGGTGTTAAACCTAAATTAAGTCATCTGAAAGTGTTTAGATCTGTAGCATATAGACATGTGTGAAGCATCTGGACAAATCGTCGAGATAAACAATGAAGTCGCCATCGAACATTTTGTATCCCGTCGAATTTAAAGGTAAACATCGAGTAAACCTGAAGGGTGAAATCACGGTCTTATGACCATAAGATCGGGTAAGGGAGTCGGTTATACAAGGGGAAGGTATTAGCACCCCATATATCTGTAGTACTCTATGGTATCCACTCTTGTTGTTCTAATCAAATGGTGTGTCTAATATATGTCTATCGCTTACTGCTACACACTAAAAAAACGAAGAGGGAATGCATGCGTAAGAAAACACAGGGAAAGAAGGAAATATTTACAAAGTTTCGCTCGGCTGAGCCCCGTGATTAGATGCTTACGTATCCTTTTTAGGAAATCAGAACGTCGTAGTTTGGCTCACATGTTTTGATTTGTTTTGTGTTTTTTTATTGAACAATGTTAAGTTTCACATTCTACATGTAACTCAATCTTTAGAGACTCACGCATCTGGAGTAGAAAGGAATTAACATGCTCTACCTAACCAGATATTTTTAAAAGAAAAGTGTCCGAAGGCAGACAATACTATGTTCGCAACTCCAAGCAAGTAGACATGATGCAACCCGACCTTTGGAGAATTATGTGTCGTATTTCCTGAAGCAGAATTAACACATTCTTTTGAGAATTTTGATGAAAGGCCTGAAGGCGAAAAGAGTTTGGATTGGTTTGATTGATTTTACCTTTAAAAAATTTTTTTTTTGTAGTTTTAGAGTGTTTTGAAGTTTGAAAATAAAAAGAGAAGGTTTTTATTTTAATGCATATGCATAAGAGAAAGAAGATGTTAAGGGTAACTAACTAGTTTCTAACCCTAATGTTAACATGTGATGTTGATCCTAAGGAGAGAATGAAAGGGAAATCCTAACTATGTTATCATGTCAAAACTTAAGGGCGAGGATACCTATCCTATAGGGAGCATGCAAGATCAAAATCGTTATATCAATTCTAATTGAGTGACATCATCGATCATCAACAAAGGAATATGATAAAATCTTAATGAGTGCATACAAAGGTCGAAGTCATTTTCTCAATTCTAATTGAGTGATAGAAAATCATCAACAAAAGGAAACAATAAAATCCTATGGGGAGCATGCAAAGATCGAAGTCGTTATCTCAATTCTAATTGAGTGACATCATCGATCATCAACAAATGAGGGTAAACGCAAGCACAAACACAAGTAGGAAATAAGTGAGAAATGCCTGCTACAGGACTTTAAACAGCGACTTCAAACGTACGCTCTTTATTTCCTACTTCGCATGATATCTAGAAAGCGGTAAAAGAGTGCGGAAATAAATCGTATAAGAAGTATACCAAACAGATATCAATCTGTAAATACTAAGCAATAGCAATATAAACCCGAGAACTTCGCAAGCAACTGGCATCAATAAACAAAATAATTCGAATATGCGTCGAAGCATCAATAAGTAAGATCAGAATGTGTGTTAGACACATCCTAATATCAATCAGTGAACCTGCATAAGATAACCATCCGAAAGAATTTGAAAAGAAATGACAAGTACCACTAGTGCTTTTCCTATCCGATTTGCAACCAGAAAAGTCAGAATCGGAATAGCCAACCAAAGAACAATCACTACCCTTGGAGTACCAAAGTCCATACTTAGTTGTATCACTAAGGTACCTAAGTATGCACTGTACGACTTTTAAATGTGACTCCTTAGGACATGATTGAAACCGAGCACACATGCAAACACTAAACATAATATCTGGATGAGAGGCCGTAAGATAAAGAGGGAACCAATCATACCTTTATACCTTTTTATATCGACGGGCTTACTATTATCATCACGGTCAAAGTTCACGGTCGTAGGCATATGAGTATCGATTGCTTTAGAGTTTGTCATGTCAAATCGCTTGAGTAGGTCAAGACAATATTTGGTTTGACTCACGAATGTTCCATCATTTTGCTTGATTTGAAGTCCAAGGAAGTATTTAACTCTCCCATCATGCTCATCTCAAATTCTTCCTGCATCATCTTAGAGAATTTCTTGACCAAAGATGCGTTAGAAGAACCAAAAATAATGTCATCTACATAAACTTGAACTAAAATAAAATGCTT